TTATTCTTCAACACTGGGGAAGCAAGGACTCGTCACCGGTCAACAGCAGTAACAGAATGGCATCTATTAAGCATACAACAATAAGTGTTGTTGAGGATGTGGGGGGAAAGGTACTCATACACTGCTGGTGGGACTGCAAATTGGTGCAGCCAATATGGAAAGCAGTATGAAGATTTCTTAGAAAATTGGGAATGGAACCACCATTTGACCCAGCTGTCCCTCTCCTCAATCTATACCCAAAAGACTTAAAAACAGCATACTACAGGGACACAGCCACATCAATGTTTACAGCAGCCCAATTCACAATAGCTAGATTGTGGAGCCAATCTAGATGCTCTTCAATAGATGAATAGATTTTTTAAAATGTGGCATATATACACAATGGAATATTACTCAGCAATAAAAGAGAATAAAACAATGGCATCTGCAAGAAAATGGAGTTAGAGAAGATAATGTTAAGTGAAGTTAGCCAATCCCCAAAAAACAAAGGCTGAATGTTTTCTTTGATATAAGGAGGCTGTTTCATAGTGGGATAGGGAAAGTGAGCATGGGAGGAATAGAGGAAACCTAGATAGGGCAGAGGAGTTGGAAGGGAAGGGAGGGGGCATGGGGTTATAAATGATGGTGGAATATGATGATCATTATTATCCAAAGTAAATGTATAAAGACATGAATTGGTGTGGATATACTTTGTATACACCTAGAGATGTGAAAAATTGTGCTTATATGTGTAATAAGAATTGTAATGCATTCCACTGTCATATATAAATAAAAATAAAAAGGTATTGTGTCCATCTACAACTAAAAAAAAAAAAAGTTAATGATGAAAGAGATTAGACTTGGTGATGTTTCTAGAATGATCTGTTCCAGTCTCCTCACCTTACACATGACACAGGGAGAGCCCTGGGAGGCTGGATGACTTGCTCAAGAACTTCAACCAGTTAATGGTGTTGAAAAACCAGCCTCTACCTCAGAGCAAATCCTGTCCAAGGAAGAGGCACGACCTTTGTCCTTGGAAAGACCCACGGAGCACTCCTAGGCACATATCCACACTGCTGAGTTGTTTATCTACAAATAACAGGAGAGATCTGCTGTGCCAGCTGTCCCTGACTCAGTCAGGTTAGGTGGGGACCCACAACAACCCCCTAGCAGCCACCAATCAGCATGAGACAGGGAAATACCTGGGATGCCAGATGACCCTCCCAGTAGTTTATGGTGGTCGAAAACATGTTGGGAAACCATGTAGTTCAGCACATACTCCCCTCGTGGCCTAAACCAATCAGTTCATACGAATCCCCCTCTTTTACTAGCCAATCACCCCTACCCAACTTGTTCCCGCCAGTGACTGTGCTAATCATGTTTTAGAGTCGTTTTATGATTTTCCCGCGGTGTTTGATGATATGCTAAGAGATGCTATGATGTATGTGAAGTTTCTGCCTTCCTCAAAGAGTGTATAAAACTGCTGCAAACCCTGGGCTCTGGGCCTCTCAGTGTCACCAGTTGCTGTGTGCGCGCAGCGGGGACCAAGCTAGCTTGCAATCAACACCTCTTTGCTGCTTACATTGATCTTGGTCTCTGGTGGCCTTTTGGTGGCCAAATTCGAGCATAACAGTGTAAACTTCAGGTCTGTATCCCAGGTCTCCATCCACCAGGATAAATAAGGCTTGGGTGTATCATAAAGTTCCTGCTGGCTTTTTCCATTTTAAATTCAGGACCTTATGGTGAGGCTTCAGGATGCCTCCCTTGCAATAACTATTACAGTTGTGTTGTCAGGGTTTTCCTTAATATTTTCCCCCCAAGTGATAAGGTTTCAGTTCCAAATATGGGTCCAGCCCTGGCAAAGGAGATGTGTTCATTGGGAGGGGAAGGAATAGATGGAAGAGGAACTCAAAATAACAGTAAAAGGATTTGTGGGGGGAGGCTGGGAATATGGCTCAGTGGCAGAGTGCTTGCCTAGCATGTGTGAAGCACTGGGTTCAATCCTCAGCACTAAATAAAAATACATAAATAAAAGTATTGTGTCCATCTACAACTAAAAAAAATATTTAAAAAAATAAAAATAAAATTTTAAAAGGGATTGGGGTCAGATTCCAGAGCATTTGCGTAAGTGCCTGGGGGTAGCAGGTTGACTTTAACTTTCAAGGATTTACTCAAAAGGCAGGGCTCCAGGCAGGAAATCCCTACACTTAGGGACAACCCCCTGGACCTGCGAGGCCTCAGGAAACCCCTGCATTAGCAAGGGAGAAAGGAAAGTCAGGCCTCCCCTAACAGCAAGGACTTCCCCCAGGACAGTTCCCTGGCCAATTCCATATTTATACACAAATAATGAATCTGGGATAAGATCCTCTCTTGCTGGCCCGGTGGGGTTCAGGCCAAAGAGACAGGATAAGTATTGAGATCCCAGCTGCTGGACCACATGGTGAGCAGGTTCCTCCCTGGGGAAGTCCCCTGAGCACAAGCAATTCTGAAAGACAATACGTACATCCAGGCCATTATGCGGAGGCCTCACACCGCATTCCTTCCATCCGCTGCTCACCTTTACTGCTTAAGGAGTTTTCTCCCCCTGATAAAAATACATATTCTTTTAATTACAAAATAGAAACAAGAGTTGAAAAAAGTTAGATATATATGGCCTGTTGTCTCAATAATAAAGAAAAAATGTTTAGACTATGTTAATGTACACGCTTCCCAACCTGTTATGTAGAAAGTATCATGCATGTGACATATAAACATTACATGCATGCATGTGTGTACATCCCATCAACAGGGTGCACTGTATATGCCCAAGCTACTGTACACACGTTTTAAGACAAAA